TCGCGTCTCCGGCAGGAATTGGCTCCCGGGCCCACGGTTTCCAGGTACCCGGAAGGGGGAGGGGGCCTAGGCGGCAACAATTGGGCGGGTGCAGGCGAAACGCGCGGTCCGGAGCGCCAAGACTCCGCGGGGCTGTGAGCCTGGGCCATGCCGCCACGCGATTGGCCGGGGCCTCCCCGCCGGGCGCTGCTGATTGGTGAATTCTCAAATTCAGTCTCAAGGCGCCAGAGGAGGTGTTTTCGCGGGGACTGTGATCCAGGCTGGAGTCGCGCTCGGCGGGTCGGAGCGCTGGCGCTTCCCGAACGCCGCAGGGTGCCCACCAGCCCAGGGCACTCGGAGCAAGGGTCTGCGCGCCTCGCCTGCTGCTCCCGATGTCGCTGCCCAGCTGCTGATCGCCGCACCCTCTTCCCGCACCGGTGTAGGACGGTGGAGGCAGGAAGACTGCTTTGCAAAGTGGGCGTAAGTAAGCGTGCCGCTCCAAGCTGGTAGGGTGGCGGGAGTTGGGGTGAAAGAGGACCCTTCCCGCCCTGGCTGCCAGCCTGCCACCTCTGTCCTCTCCAGGCTTGGGGTACCGAGGTGTTTCTGCCCTGGGACCAGGAGCGCTGGGGCTGTGTGGGCTCCAACTTTCCCTCCGACCCGGCAGTGGAAGGCACTTCCCTTCCCCACAATTTGGGGGTTTCAGAGGAAGAGTTTATCCTTGGGGTCTGCTTAAAGGCCTGGGGAGGGGCTGCGCTAAGCGCCGAGTGGGTTTGGTCTAGCGATCAGGTTTCCTTTCCCCCCGGATTTCAAACCCCCTCAAAGCCGAATTCCTCCCAGTTCTTTGCGCCAAAATTAACTGACCTGGGAGACCCTGTACTTTCTGACAGATTTACCCAGCCCCCTTCTGACTTGGTAACTTTTATTTTGTCCTGTTGATTTTCATAAAGAATGACTATTCTGGTCGATTTTAATTTTCTTCCCGGATTTTCAGTAATTACTAAGCACGCTTTAAGTGTGTTAGTTTATGTGAGTTTTAGAGAGGGTGGAGAGTGGCTATATGCCTGGAATCCTCAGGATGTGTTTCAGCTGGGGGCAGTTCATGTTCATGAACAAGTAGTAAGTAGGTATTTTTGTTGTTGGAGAAAAATATCTAATTGTAAAATTGGTTTCTAATGTAATCGTGCATTACAGATGGAGGTAAATTGTTTAACACTAAAAGACCTGATCCACCCCAGGCAGTCCAGATTAGATTTTGCAATTGAAGATGGGGAAAATGCGCAAAAGGTAAGCACATGGAAATATTTAGTAAATTAAAGATGGTGATATCTAATCTAATGAAATGTTTTAGCATGCCCTTTGTATTTCTCTTGTAAACATAATTTTGGTGAACATTATATTTAGACACACACCTTTAGAAATACAGCCAATATTATTATTGGCCAACAATATTATCGTTGCGTTTCTACTTGGTCATTTGCAGTGGGGAGAGAGGCTAGCTTAGATGTAATGTTGGAACCAACTTATGAGTCAAATATGGTGGACATTGCAATCAGAAGTTTATAAAACTTCTCCTTACCAAGTATGATATCAGCTAATGCTTTGTAAGAATGATAAGCCTCAGCTCCCAGGAAAATAGACTCTCATAGCTATGGATGCTGGATTATTAAAGAGTTGTGAAATGTCCTCATACCAATGAACCAGCTCCTAGAGGCCGTTTCTTCTACCACAAATAGGACCTATCATCTTCAGATGGGAGATAAAGTTACTGAGCCCACCAACATACTCTGAATATCTTACAGTGTTGCTGCTGATTTTGCACTGGACTGTTCTTCGTTCCCTCCCTCTTTTGCACCCTTCGTGATTTGGAAGACTGGTGTTATCTTCTAGAAACATAACATGGTAGATTAGTCGTGGCAGATATCTAAACTATCACCTACCCTACATCAGCACTACTGCACTACCCAGCCAGTGTCCCACTGGAAAGGTACATTATTTTATTAATAATCAGTGTCTAAGCATTTTTTTTTTTTTTTAGTGTCTAAGCATTTTTTTGCAGAGACAAATTGATAGAACAAATTCAATTTTAGAAACTTTGAATATAAATCTATGCATTGCAGTATCCTTGGGCAGTGAACATTCTCTGGGCCCTTGGTCTTATTTTTAGGCTTAGCATTCAAAGCACCTGTTACATGGGCCTTTGACAAACACTTAATTCTTGTTCTTTTTTTTTTTTTTTTTTTTTTAAGAGGTTGCTACAGGGTGAGTGCGCTCTCCAGAAAGACAGAGAGAAACAGAGACAGAAAGTGAGAAATCACCCCCCAGTGAGGATGGCCATGCCGCAATCCCTTCTCCTCCATTCTCTTCTCGGGATCTTGGGCAGGCTCCCACATGTGCCCGGCATGAGTTTAAGCCACCAGGTCCGGGACTTGAACTGTGGTCAACTACATTAGAGGCTAGCGACATAGCCTAAACTGCTGGTCTCAAAACTTATTAATTTTAGAGTGGTGTGAGATTGTGTATTTTCCCATGCAAGGTTGTTTTTGTCCAGCATCTGATTTCTTTGATTGATTGATTGATTTTAATTTGCTAGAGGGTACATGTGCTTGCTGGAGAGAAAGTGAGAAAGCACCCCGACACACACACTACGGGAAACTGTCAAGCCACAATCCCTTCTCTTCCATTTCTCTCTCATTTGAGGGTTTGGGGTACATACACACACACAAACACCTGGTGTGTTTTCCTTTAAGCCATTGGGTCATGACTTGACCCTCTCAGTTGGCCATGTGGGATCCAGCCATCTTTAATACCACATCACCGGTTGGCCCTGATGTATTTTTGTTAGGAAAAGAAGCATACCAAAACATTGGGGGGTTTGGGGTTTGTTTTTAAATGCTTGCCCTTTATTTCCCTTTAATTTGCCAGAGGGTGCATGTGTTTGTGGGGTGAGGCATGGTCCCACCGCAATCCTCTTTCAGTCACTTCTCCATTTGTATCACTCGTGCCTGGTGTTTTTTTCAGACCCCTGGGTCCAGGACTCAAGCCACACAGGTCAGCCACCTTAACACCATGCCATGCGCTGGCCCATATTGGTTTTTTTTTTTTTTTTTTGGACTGCCTGACCCATATTAGGGTACACATACCTGGACTTAAAATGTATATTCAGAGTCAAGGCTCTGGGAGTTTCAAAGTAAAACTTTTTGTTTGCCTTTATAATATGGATGGTACAGCCTTGAAAGAGTGCATATACATTTATAGAAAGTCTAAGTCAGTCCTTCACTTCTCACCTTCTGGATCAATGGCTTTTATCCAGTACCTTCAGCAAGGGCCCTTCTGTCTCCCTAGGGAGCATCAGCCAGTGCTGTGTCCGGCTGACCGTTCTTGTTCTAATGGGTATGGAGAAAAACTTAAATGACTAGAGAAGTGGTTGAACTGTTCGAAATACAATGTGTGAGCAGAGGCTATTTCACTTTTCTGAAGAGAAGGCGAGACATGAGATCAGTAATTCTGCAGAGATTCACAGAGAGGGGCTTTGGCCTCTTTCTCATGTAAGTAGGAAGTAAAGCTAGGAGGCTTTCTAGGGATGGTGCGAACGTGGGGTTTGGAATCACAGAGTCCTGCATGTAACTTCCTGCTCTGTCACTTATTAGCTGTGTAACCTCAAACAAATGTTTATTAGGTCTTCCGACAAATATTTATGGTCCAGATGCTGGGGATTCAGAAGCCTAAACTCCAAACCATTGTTTTTCTTCCATAAATTGGAGTTAATATATGGTTTCTCTCCCGGTGGGTCTCTGGTAAGCTCCTGGTAGCACACAGTCTTCACATAGGAACACGTGAAACTGACAGCATAAAGAGGATACCGTGCGGGCCCTGAGCTGGTGACCGGAGAGACTTTTGGGGAACCAGATATTAAAGTAGCCTAGTAGTCCATGATTTGCTAAGTGCTGTAATAGAAAGGGGAACACAGTTTCCTGGCAGAACAGAGGAGGAAGTAGTAAATTCATGAGAGTCCAGAGAATGTTGGAAAACTTCACAGAGTAGGAAACATTTAGGCAAAACCTTAATGGATGAGAACGTTCTCTGTACAAGAAAATAAGGGTAAGCGAGGTGGACATTCACAGCAGAAGAAACAGCAGATGGACATTCAAGAAATCTAAAGTAGCCACAGTTATTGGTGCTGAGTTCTTGAAATCGCTTTGGGGGATGCCTAGAGTGACATCCTGCTGGATTGGTCATCATTTGGAGGATTTCTTTCTTGATGACCTACAAGCTGGTCAAGATGTACAAGGATTGTATTATGTGTACTTTTTCCCACTTTTGGAGAAAATTTTTTTAAAATCATAAAGGAGTTTTCAACTTCGTTACCCACATTGACTATTTCAGGTTGTAGGGTTATAAACCAGACTCTCCATTTGCATTATTTATAATCATTTGGGGATAACAGAAATAGAAAATGGATAGTTTGGGAAGAAGTGAAGGCTAAGGGTTGAGGTGGTGTGTAGGACTTACTAGGTGACCTGGAGCTGGAAGGAAGGGATATTCAGGCTTAGGCAAGTAGAGAGGACAGGGGCTAATGAAGGAGCTGCAGTGAGCACAGAGGGTGTGCAGACCGCCCAGACTTACCGGGCCCTCTAATTAAAGAAATGATTTCCAAGGTATCACAGGTTAGATTTCCTGGCAGGCATATCTCACTGGGTGTTTCACATGTCAGAGATTTATTAGGGAGGATGCTAGGATTGATGCCTGGAGCAGGGAAGGCAGAACAGGGCAGAGAGAAGGGGACGTAGGACTATCACAGTGGACGTCTGTGTCCAGCTTGCGGGTTGTTCTGGGATGACCCCTCAGCGTAGTGCTACACTGGAGCCAGGAGGCCAGGCTTTCATAGGTCAGTGCTACTTCAGCCTGCTCTTGGGTTTAGCAAAGGCCTCCTGGGAAGGATTGTGGTCCTGGAACATCAGCCTTCTTCAGCCAAAGCAGTCCAGTTATGGGACTACTGTTGGAATTGTTTCCAGCAACTACGGATGAGTCCTTCATTCCTTATGTGATCTGGGTGCCTCCCCAGTGTCCACTGCACACCTGGGCAGCTTTGCTGGGCCGCTTTGGAGACAGATGCCTTAGTCTGAACTTCCTAGTCTATGTATACAGATACTTGGCCCCAGCCGTAGCGAACAGTATTTCCTAATCAAAAAGATGCAACTGGAGTTGAGAAAAAATCCACGTTTCTAAGCTCTCATATTATTCTCCTTCCACTTTCCTGTATAATGTCAGGATAGCAGGACAGATAGACAGCAGAGCAGAGCATAACTACATTGCAGCTTTCTGCCCACGAGGCCCCTGTACACAATTTGCTTGGCATTCTTTTGATGCAGAGGTGTGATACAATCCTAGCCTACCAGGTGGCCTGCCTCTCCTTTACTTTAGTTATTATTTATAGTATAATGGAAACGTATCAAAGTAGAGGAGGAAATAACGTGTTCTGCGTTGCCTCCTTGGTAGGGAAGAAGTAGGCTAACGGTTCCTGTGCAGATGAGTATCATGGAAGCAGTAGAGAAGGAAGGTAAATCCCTGTCTACTCAGTGAGCCTGGATCATACCCTCTACCATCAGGATGTCTTTTGGAATAACTGGATAATTTAGGCACAGGGCTCTTTGAGAATTTATAAGAGGCAAGACATTGTGCCAAAAATTGTGAGGAATAAGACACATGGAACTTGCTTCCTGATCTCCACAAGTGCATGGTGTCGGTTTTTTTAAAACGTTTTTGTTTTTACTTTTGTGTGTGGGGGGGTAGGATTTTTGCTATAGGGTGCGTGCACTCACTGGAGAGGCAGAAAGACAAAAAGTGAGAAATCACTCCCCTGGGTGGGGGGATGGCCATGCAGCACTCCCTTCTCCTCTGTTCCCCTCTTGGGATTTTGGGTGGGCACACACACACACACACGCCTGGCGTGAGTTTTAAGCCACTGGGTCTGGGACTCAAACCACCATCAATTATGTGGGAGTCCAGTGACATAACCATTGCACCATATGCTGGTCCTCACAGTGTCATTTTTGAGACAAGGCGAACACTCAGAATGTTACACAGTAGTACGATCTGCTATGTTAGATCTTAGTGCTAGAATGAATGTAATGCAGAATGGGAAAGAGGGGAAAGACAATAGCCAGATTTCATTGTGGCTCACTGTGTGCCAGGAACTATTCTCATAAACCTTAAGGTTGAAATTTTTGGAATTGCATTTTCAGTTGTGAGGATTAAGGTACTAGAGAGTGAGGGGAAGTTCCTTCACACTGCTGATAACTAGACCCTGTGTACATGACCACTTCCCCAAACTGCTTCTCCCTAGAGGCCAGTGGGGGGTCAGTGCTGGGCACCTGTTGTTAGAGCTGCAGACAAGATAACTTCTTTCGAATTTGTACCCAGAATAAGTTCATTTCTAGATGGAAAATTTCAGAAACTCCTGCTTTCCGCTGTTTCACATATACTAGTAATTTTTACACTGAATGAGGTCACATAGGACCACATTTCTCTTCTCTGTGCCTGTTTCTTCATCTATAAACTGAAAAAATAATACAGGTTGAGCATTACTAATCCCAAAGTCCAAAATGCTCCAAAATCTGAAACTACATGAGTGCCAAGATGATGTCACAAGTGGGAAATCTGTACTTGACCATGTATGACAGGATTGCAGTCAAAATGCTACAATATAAAAATGCTGTATAAAATTACCTTCAGGCTATGCATGTAAAGTGTATGTGAATATAAATTGATTTTGTATTTAGACTTAGGTCCCATTCTCAAAATATCTCATTCTGTACATGCAAATATTCCCAAATCTGAAAAATGCAGAAATTAGAAACATTTGTGGTTCCAAGCATTCTGGATAAGAGCTACTCAGTCTGTAGTCTGTACCTATGTCAGGATTGGTGAGGGGTTAATACCTGGAAAGTACATGAAACAAGGCATGGCATGCAGTAAAGGCTACATCATTTCCCTCAAGAATTCCGTTGCAGAAGTCTTCATCAGTGTAGCACACCAGTAGGGACTTGTTAAGAGGTGGGTACATGCAAAGCTCCAGGCTGGGTGCTCACTGCTGCTGTGTCATGAGAAAGCATCATCCTACCTCCACCCTTTCCTGGAATACTGGACCAGACAGCACCATGGCTAGCTGGCAGCTTCGGCTGACCCAAGGAACAGGAGTTGGTCTGCTCACATAAACTCTAGTTTCACCCAAAAGATCTTTCATCACTTCATATGTTGCTCATTTTTAGGAAAGCATCTTTTTTAGTTTTGTTTTTGTTAATTTGCCAGAGGGTAAGTGGATTGAGAGAGAGAGAAAGTGAGAAGGTACCCTCCATGGAGCACGGTCACGCTATAATCCCTTTTCCATTTCTCCCTCTCTCCAGGACCTTCGGCATGTACACACACATGCCCAGCAAGTTCTCCAAGCTGCCGGGTCCCAGGCTCAAACCACGCAGTTGCCCATGTGGGATGCAAGCTACCTTAAACTCCACACCACTGGCTGGTCCAGGAAAACACTTGTTTTCTATCAGTGCTCAGCCAAAATGCTAGTATGCAGTAACTCTAGTGTGATGCATGGACAGGATTTTGGGTGGGCACACACACACACACACACGCCTGGCGTGAGTTTTAAGCCACTGGGTCTGGGACTCAAACCACCATCAATTATGTGGGAGTCCAGTGACATAACCATTGCACCATATGCTGGTCCTCACAGTGTCATTTTTGAGACAAGGCGAACACTCAGAATGTTACACAGTAGTACGATCTGCTATGTTAGATCTTAGTGCTAGAATGAATGTAATGCAGAATGGGAAAGAGGGGAAAGACAATAGCCAGATTTCATTGTGGCTCACTGTGTGCCAGGAACTATTCTCATAAACCTTAAGGTTGAAATTTTTGGAATTGCATTTTCAGTTGTGAGGATTAAGGTACTAGAGAGTGAGGGGAAGTTCCTTCACACTGCTGATAACTAGACCCTGTGTACATGACCACTTCCCCAAACTGCTTCTCCCTAGAGGCCAGTGGGGGGTCAGTGCTGGGCACCTGTTGTTAGAGCTGCAGACAAGATAACTTCTTTCGAATTTGTACCCAGAATAAGTTCATTTCTAGATGGAAAATTTCAGAAACTCCTGCTTTCCGCTGTTTCACATATACTAGTAATTTTTACACTGAATGAGGTCACATAGGACCACATTTCTCTTCTCTGTGCCTGTTTCTTCATCTATAAACTGAAAAAATAATACAGGTTGAGCATTACTAATCCCAAAGTCCAAAATGCTCCAAAATCTGAAACTACATGAGTGCCAAGATGATGTCACAAGTGGGAAATCTGTACTTGACCATGTATGACAGGATTGCAGTCAAAATGCTACAATATAAAAATGCTGTATAAAATTACCTTCAGGCTATGCATGTAAAGTGTATGTGAATATAAATTGATTTTGTATTTAGACTTAGGTCCCATTCTCAAAATATCTCATTCTGTACATGCAAATATTCCCAAATCTGAAAAATGCAGAAATTAGAAACATTTGTGGTTCCAAGCATTCTGGATAAGAGCTACTCAGTCTGTAGTCTGTACCTATGTCAGGATTGGTGAGGGGTTAATACCTGGAAAGTACATGAAACAAGGCATGGCATGCAGTAAAGGCTACATCATTTCCCTCAAGAATTCCGTTGCAGAAGTCTTCATCAGTGTAGCACACCAGTAGGGACTTGTTAAGAGGTGGGTACATGCAAAGCTCCAGGCTGGGTGCTCACTGCTGCTGTGTCATGAGAAAGCATCATCCTACCTCCACCCTTTCCTGGAATACTGGACCAGACAGCACCATGGCTAGCTGGCAGCTTCGGCTGACCCAAGGAACAGGAGTTGGTCTGCTCACATAAACTCTAGTTTCACCCAAAAGATCTTTCATCACTTCATATGTTGCTCATTTTTAGGAAAGCATCTTTTTTAGTTTTGTTTTTGTTAATTTGCCAGAGGGTAAGTGGATTGAGAGAGAGAGAAAGTGAGAAGGTACCCTCCATGGAGCACGGTCACGCTATAATCCCTTTTCCATTTCTCCCTCTCTCCAGGACCTTCGGCATGTACACACACATGCCCAGCAAGTTCTCCAAGCTGCCGGGTCCCAGGCTCAAACCACGCAGTTGCCCATGTGGGATGCAAGCTACCTTAAACTCCACACCACTGGCTGGTCCAGGAAAACACTTGTTTTCTATCAGTGCTCAGCCAAAATGCTAGTATGCAGTAACTCTAGTGTGATGCATGGACAGGACAGGGGTGACAGATATTTAACTCATCTTCCTTCATAATTATGTAAGACAGACACTCTAAGTAGAAGTGAATTCTCTTACAGGAGAGGCAGACTCTTTTATCTGAATGGCAAAAACTTACTTGAGGGAAAAGAAGTTTATTTTAATTATTTAGTAGTTCTAAATGTAGGTTCTGCACATTAAATCCTTTTTGTAATAGGCTCATCATTAAGCTCTTCTTAAAGACAGTCTACTCAAAGTGTGGACTAGAGGCAGGTGAATTCTACAAACTATCACCAGGCTGAAAAATTAAGAACAGAACTTGAGAGTGAAGAGACTTAGAAACCTAAGTCACAATTCAATATTGCCACTGGGACATGTCAGCCTGTGAGCAATAGTTTCTTGTTGAAGAGACCAGAGGTCAGTTTGAGTGACCAACCCGAATGAATTGTATCTGGCAGGAGATGTTTCTTAGTCCTACGAAGATCATGTGTTAGTGTACAAGGGTTTGGTAAAAAACAGGTCTTTCATCATGCATAATGTAAGAAGCTCTCTAGGAGGAATAACATTAGACATTTTAGACCACTAGGTTGGCCTACGATGTGATATTTTCCTGGATGCTCTTCCATTATGGGTTCTGCCATTAATTGCTATATTAGCACTGGTGAACATTAAATTACAGAGGCATCACTGTTCTGTACTAACCAATGCAAACTAACCTGTAAATAGTGTTTTTAAAAATATGTCACTTAGGGAACCAGTAGTTGGCGTAATGACTATGTCGCTGGACTCCCATGTAGTCGACCGCAGTTTGAGTCCCAGACCTGGTGGCTTAAAACTCACGCCAGGCGCTTATGCGTGCGTGCCCAAGATCCCGAGAGGAGAATAGAGGAGGAGGAATTGTGGCGTGGCCATCCCCCTGGGGGGTGATTTCTTGCTTTCTGTCTCTCTGTCTCTCTCCAACTTTCTGGCGAGTGCATGTGCCCTATAGCAAAAACCTCTCAAAAAAAAAAAAAAACAAAAAAAAAAACACTGTCACTTAGAAACAGTATGAACTCAACTCACATTTGGCCCTCATCATACCCAACTATTGGGTTGTTGGAAAAGTCATGATGTATTTTTCTAAGCAAAAATGTATCTTGACTTTTTCTATGTCCAAATATTACAAGTACCCATCAATGACAGATATATTCATGACTTCTCTCACAAAAATATCATGAAAAATATACTTTAAAGGAGTAGCAGGTTATAATCTGTTTCTAATTGACACCACTCTTAAATTCCCATGAAGCCTCTAATCTTCATGAGTCCTTTCTGGTACTTTCAAGCCCAAACATACGGGCCTGTTTGTATTTTCAAGTCTTAGTAAATGGCGGGAGCAGTGTCCTCTTAGCTCAGACCTCTTCTTATCCTTGCTAAAAAGTCTCTTTTTTTAAAATAGGAAAACATATTTGTTGATCGGTCAAGAATGGCCCAGAAGACTCCGATAAAAAATGAACCAATTGACTTATCGAAGCAAAAAATCTTCACTCCAGAACGAAATCCCATTACTCCAGTAAAACTTGTTGACAAACAGCAGGCAGAACCATGGACACCTACAGCCAACCTGAAGATGCTCATTAGTGCTGCCAGCCCAGACATAAGGGACCGAGAGAAGAAAAAAGGTCTCTTCAGACCCATTGAAAACAAGGATGATACGTTTACAGACTCTTTACAGGTAAAGAGGGTGTGCTCCAGAAAGATTTTATAGAACTTAAACAATTTTACTTGATTATTAAAAAGTCATAGAATTGTTCATTTTTTAGTTCCTATTGAGTCAAAAACACTATTAAACTTAATATATGCTTTTTGGAACCAGCAGTTAGCATAATGGCCATGTCGCTGGACTCCCACGTAGCCGACCGCGGTTCGCGTCCTGGACCCGGTGGCTTAAAACTCACGCCGGGCGTGTGTACATGAATGCCCAAGATCCCGAGAAGAGAATGGAGGAGAAGGGATTGCAGTGTGACCATCCCCCCTGGGGGGTGATTTCTCGCTTTCTGTCTCTCTGTTTCTCTCTGTCTGGCGAGCGCACACGCCCTATAGCGAAAACCTCTCAAAAAAAAAACAAAACAAAACAAAACAAAACTTAGTATATGCTTTTTTATAGCTGAACTGGCACTCTTACCATTTTTTTTAATTGCCAGAGGGCACATGTGCTCAGCAGAGAGAGAGAGAGGGAGAAAACATTCCCTCCCCTCAATGACACATGGTCATATCACAATCCCTTCTCCATTTCTCCATCTTGTCAGAATTTTGGGTATGCAAGCACAGGCACCCAGTGAGTTTTTCAAGGTGCTAAAGCCAGGGTTCGAACTACGGCTGGCCATATAGCATATGGCTTATTATTTTTCATAATAAATGCTTTCTTTTTTCTATGATACTGCCTTGACCAGACACATTTAAAAATGATGACTTTGGGGGGCCAGCAGGTGGCATTGTAGTTAAGGCACTGGACTACCCCAGGGCTGACTATGGTCCAAGTCCTGGACCTGGTGGCCTGAAACTTTCCTGGACACATATGTATATGTGCCTAAATGCCAAGAGGAAAGTGGAGGAGAAGGTATTGTGGCATGGCCACCCCACTGGTGTGTGTGTGTGTGTGTGTGTGTGTGTGTGTGTGATTTTTCACGTTCTGTTTCTGGTGAGCGCATGCTCCCTATAGAAAATCTCTTTTTAAAAAAAAAAAGATGATTTTTTTTGGAGAGGTTTTGCTATGGGGTGCATGCACTTGCCAGAAAGACAGACAGAGACAGAAAGTGAGAAGTCACCCTCCAGGGGGGATGGCCATTCCACAATCCTTTCTCCATTCTCCTCTTGGCATCTTGGATATGCATGCACACACACCTGGTGTGAGTTTAAGCCACCAGGTCCGGGACTCAAACTGCAGTCAGCTACATGGGAGTCCAGCGACATAGCCATTATGCCAACTGCTGGTCCCCAAAAAGATGAATTTTTAAAGTATTATTTAATGAAGGAATCTGACTTTTTTTTTAATGTTTCTATGAATTTTAATTTTGCTCAGGTTTTAAGGGCAATATGAACCTAAATATGTTTTGACTTGGGAAATTCCATTGTTCTCATACATGACCATTTTGTTGGTTTGGACTTTATTAGTTAAGCATTCTTTAAATGACCTGTCTTTGCTGTCAAATTGAATGGGCAGCATGCTTATACTTCTTTAAAAACTCCATAGTAATTTTTGTTGTCCCGTTAACTTTTTTCCAGATTTGCTAACAAGTTCCTTACAGATTTGAGTGTTTCTTGTTATTTTTCCTCTGTTGGTAGGTTATTTTTAAAAGATTTTGAGCTGTAAAATTTGTCAAAATAAAGAAATTAGGGAGAAGAGAAAAAGTAGTCCCAAATTCCAATTTGAAATCAACAAAATGAATTTAATCTGCTATATATATCATTGCTGTGGCGGAATAAAACAGATGCTTTCATGTAACTGAGCACAAGTCAGATAGTTTCAAGAATACCCCTTGTGAGTTCAGAACCAGAAAAATGTCATGTTTTTTTAAAGTCTGGACTGTTCTTTGACTTCCTTTCCATTTCACATTTGAAATGGAAAACTCAAAGCCTTCGGTTTCAGAGGCCTTAGGTTCAAATCACTGGTTGGGTGACTGGAAGAAATCACTCACGGCTCTGTGCTTCAGTTACTCCTCTATAAAGTGAGTGTTGTGGTCTCCTCTCTGGTTTGATTAGGGATGGAAGAGTGAAATAAAATTAAATGTGCATTTTGCTGTCAAAAGCATTTATTTGTTTTGTTTTGTTTTGCCTTTTATGACAAAAATAGAACAAAGTGAAAAATCACCCAATGGGAATTGTTAGTGTCTCCTCTCACAAAGTAATATTTATTTAGGTAGAATTAGTTGTTTAACATGTCCCTAAAACATTAAATTTTGGTTTTCTACCCAAGTGGTATAAGGAGATTTTCAGTGATCTATCACTGAAACGTTCATTTCCATTAAGAAGTAAATGCCTAAAATTTGAGTGGCCTTAACACAGACTTTTAATATATTTTTTAAACTAGTACTTTAGTATCTTTTGGTGGTCTGTTTTATAAGAGGCAAATACACTTACCATGTTTGCAAAACTTCTAACATGCATGAAACTACCTCCCAGTCCTCAAACCAGACACTGCTATTAATCTCGCTCTTCCTCCCACAGAGAAACCTCTCCTGAAGTTGTCTTTATCATTTTCTTGCCATTCTTGAATCACTCACATGTGTACCCTATGTAGGACCTTACTTGGGTTGTTTTTGTTTTGTTTGGGGTTTAGACTTTGTAAAACTGAAACTACAGTAGCATACAGTCTTCTGGGACTTTCTTTTTATAGTCAACATATATCCTTAAGAGTCATTCATGTTTTTGCACATAGCTGTAATTTTTTCATTTCTGTTACTATGGGATATTCATTGTATAAGCACTCCATTTTATTTAATCCATTCTTTTGTTTATAGTATTTTAGTTGTTTGCAATTTGAAGCTAATATGTTCCGTGCTTCTATAAGACTTCAGTGACTCCAGAGAATCTTTCCAAGAGTCAAGGAAGACCAAATTATTTTCATAATACTCAGACATTTACCATTTGAGTGCTCATTCTCTCCTGAGTATTCAGTGGAGTCTTCTGGTAGCTACATGATACGGATATTACAACAGATTGAATACAAAATGGAACATGAGAATCCAGTCGTTTTCTATTAAGCCAGACACTAAAGAGATTTGAAAGAACATCTAAAACACTGACCCTTTTCTTGCTAATCATTGTAACATCTCAGTTTTAATCTCTAATATGGTAAATATTAATAGATAAAACAAACAAAAAAGTCACGTGGAATCCTCAGTAATTTTTTTTTTTTTTTTAAGAGAGATTTTTGCTATAGGGCACATGTGCTTGCTGGAGAGAGAGAGAGACAGAAAGTGAGAAATCATCTTCTGAGGGGATGGTCATGCTATAATCTCTTCTCCATTCTCCTCTCTGGATCTTGGGCATGCACTCACATGTGCCCAGTGTGAGTTTCAAGCCTCTAGGTTCAGGACTTTAACCACGGTCAGCCACATGGGAGTCCAGTGACATAACCATTATGCCATCTGCTGGTCCCAAATCCTTAGTAATTTTTAAGAACATAAAGGATCTTGTGAGCAAAAATTTTGAGAGATACTAATAGTTCTTTTTTTTTTTTTCTTTTCTTTTTTGGAGAGGTTTTTGCTATAGGGTGTGTGCGCTCGCCAGAAAGTCAGAGAGAGACAGAAAGCAAGAAATCGCCCCCTGGGGGGATGACCATGCCACAGTCCCCTTCTCCATTCTCCTCTCTGGATCTTGGGCATGCATGTACACATGCCTGGAGTGAGTTTAAGCCACCAGGTCCAGGACTCAAACCACAGTCGACTACTTGGGAGTCCAGTGACATAGCCATTATGCCAACTGCTGGTCCCAGAGAGCTACTAATAGTTCTTGTTTGTGCAGGAGTTCTTCCTCTTTGCAGAGTTGGTAATGTTTCCCCTGCCATATGTCAAAGTTTTGTTTGTGTCTATATGTTTCTGGACTCTCTTCTGTTCCATTGGCCAATTTCTCCATCTCTACATTATTACCATAATGAAATAAGCCTTGCTATCAGGTAAAGTAGAATCCTCAGCTTACTTTTCTTCAAAGTATATGGACTATTCTTGGCTCTTTGTTCTTCTCTCTATACTTAGACTGGATTTTAATTGGAATTTTATTGAGTCTGTTGATTCAATTAACCTCTTTAAGGTACTAAGTATTCCTATTCATGAAGACGGTATATTTATTATTTTTGAAATTTTAGATTCCTTGAGTTTTTTAAGTGAGCAATCATGTCTTCTGCAAAATAAAAATTTTGTTTATTCCTTTCCAATCCCTGTGCCTCAATTTCTTTTTCTTGTCCTCATGCACTAAGATTTTCAATCTGATATAGAAGAGCAGCAGAGATAATGGGCATCCTTATCATTTTCCTGATTTTAGGAGAATACTTTCAAGATTTTTCCCTTAAGGCAGATATTTGCCATTGGGTTTTCATGAATACCCTTCATTGAAGAAGTTCTCTTGTATTACTAGTTTTCTATGGGCTTTTTTGAAAATCATAAATGAGTATTAGATTAATAAAATGCTTTTTCAGAATCATATCACTTTCCCCTTTGAACCTATTCACTGAAAGTCTTGTTCTATTCAAAGTCTGAATGAAACAAGGACAGTAGTTTAGTGTACTTAAAACGAGAAAGAATGAGAAATGTGATTTAGCCATCCTTGTTTAGTTGCATCAACTAAACAACCTGTGGGCAATTATAAAATTTTAAAAAGTTCAGTGACACAGTGCAAGCCAGTGCATCTCAAATTTCATATCAGTAAGAATCACCTAGAGTCTTATGGAAAGGCAGATTTTGATGTACATAGCTGGGATAAGATATCTACTATTTTGTTATTGTTGCTGTTGCTAATGGGCATGTGTGCTTGTCAGAGACAGAGAGAGAGGGACACCTCCTATGGGGAATAGTCACACTACAATCCCTTCTCCATTTCTTCTTTCAGGATTTAGGGCACAGCACACATATGTGCCTGGCATGTTTCTCAGGTCACCAAGTCTGGGACTAAAACCATGCAGCTGGCCATGTGATATTCAGCTGCTTTAACTACCAGGCCATGGAGCTGGCCTGTGATTCTACATCTTTTAACATGCTCCTGGCCATGTTAATTTCATAGGCCCAACAAGCATCCTAGCAGCAAGGGTTTAGCAACCTATCAATGACTGCATTTTTCTTTCTTTTTTTTTTTTTCCACTATAGGGCACGTGCACTCGCCAGACAGACAGAGACATAGAGATGGAAAGCGAGAAATCACCCCCCAGGGGAGGTGACCACACCGCAATCCCTTCTCTTCCATTCTCCTCTCAGGATCTTGGGCACGCACACACACACGCCCGGTGTGAGTTTTAAGCCACCGGGTCTGGGATGCGAACTGCAGTCGACTACGTGGGAGTCCAGTGACATAGCCATTACGCTAACTGCTGGTTCCCTGCATTTTTCATTTTTTAAACTTACTAATAGACTCAGCCTCAAATTACAAAGGAAAAATTCAGCACAGAGAAGGCAATAGGTAAACCATTAAATTAGATTAGAAAATGTATTTTAACCAGTATTCAGAATGGAATGGATTGAAATGTGCCCACAACTTTCCAGTGGCAGCTGTTGTAATTTCTCCATTTGGATGTTAACTGAAACATCTTTCCTCTCCCTTCTGTCTGCCCCCTGTAGCTTGATGTTGTTGGGGACAGTGCTGTGGACGAATTTGAAAAGCAAAGGCCAAGCAGAAAACAGAAAAGCTTAGGACTCCTGTGCCAGAAGTTTCTAGCTCGCTATCCAAGTTACCCCTTGTCAACTGAGAAAACTACCATCTCCCTAGATGAAGTTGCTGTCAGTCTTGGTATGTATCATCAGATTACTGGAGGTCTGCCTCCAAGTCACCACGGGAATCTGGTTTGCTTGGGCAGCCCAAAGGCTTCAAGTAGCCTCGTTTGTTAACTGGATAGTGAGCCCTTCAAAAAAGGATGACAGAGGAGCACACAGAGCTTCCTTTGTCAGCATAAAATTTTTCTTCATTATCCAGAGAATTTTAGGGAGTCATCTAGACCTGAGAGCCAAACAAAAATTCTTTTCTGAACCCTAAAATAGATTTTGGTGGAGGAAATATTTTTATAAGAGGCTTATATTATAAATTAACATCTCATATTTTCAATTCATCTTACTTCAGACAGAGAGGATATTTAAGAAACATCCTGCTCTTTTAATATTGCTTTTAGGAGTTCAGAACTGGTGTTTTTTTTCTTAATAAAGCAAGATTTGAGAGCAAGAGCATTACGTTTGAAGCTTTATACCGTGATAGCACAGCAAGGCTGTCAAACTAGAAAAAAGCACATCTGGCTGTAACTCAAATAGCTAAGCCTTATAACAAAGGAAAATACACATGTTCACGTGGCATGAGTGTATAATGTGCAGTTGTGTCTGGGCTATAAATATGTATACAACTGCTTAGAATAGAGACCCCTAGTGGACATGGATTGCAACTGGTGTCAAGATGAACATGTTTCTGACAATCATTAAATAAATAGAAAACACAATGACTCTAGGTGTCAGGGGTCCCCTTAGTAAAGCGATTTTCACACAAAAACGGTTTAGAAGAGATCAGCTAAATAAATATACAATAGATTGCATTTTTAGGTTGCTTCCTAGCTGTTTCCTCCAAAGCTCAGAGAAGTGTGTTTCAATAGATGACTGTCAATCTGAATTATTTGAGCTAGTAAGTTTAGAGGACTTTTGGTTGCTGGAAACTGAGGTGATAAGGAGGCAGTGGGTTGTGGTGGGAAGACCATGGATTAGGCTTGGGATTGCAAGAGCTGGGTAACTTTTAAAAAGTTAATTAACCTAATTAACCTTTTCATGTCCATGACGTAGGGACCAAAGCACCTACCTTGTAGAGACATAGCAAAGTAGGGGATAATGTCGGTAACATGCCAAACTCTGCCTGACATGAGTAGCCCCTAATAGTAGGTAGATGGTTTCTACTCAGCTCATACTAGATTGTCACCTCCCCACCCATACCCTACCTTTGCCATCCTGTCAGCCCCTGTAGCTAAGAAGAGGAAAGAGAGTCCTGAGGTCCGGGAGCCATTTTGGAACCCAGGACTATAATATAGTATTCTCAAAATGGTGGCAAACAAGAAAGGGAAAGTGAAGCAGCTGGACAGAGGCGTGGTAAAGCGCCAGTTCAGGCACTGGGTCCCGGAAAACTACCTTTTAGAAAATGAGGGTGAAATGACAGATCATCCAGCGTCCTCTTCACTGGGATTCATAAGGCTGACTTCCTCCCTGTCATCCATCAAGGGATCTTGGTTGATGTCACTTGCAGAAGACAAAAGTTTAGGTGTTGGAGGTCTAGGTCCCAGGGAGGACAGAAAAGCAGACTCCTGCTTGCTCATGGGTAGCAGATCATTCTGCAGATTCCTATGTTATGGCTGCCTGAAGCAGAACTCCACAGTTTCCTAGTGCTTTATGATAGCCAGACTTGCCCAATGAGCATGCCATCTTTCTTCAAGTGAAATTTAGAATATGAGCTCTTCTGAAAGTATTGCAGAGGTGACCATCACTTAAGATGGAGTTATGTCGCTGGACTCCCACGTAGTCGACCGTGGTTCGCATCCCGGACCCGGTGGCTTAAAACTCATGCCGGGCGCATGTGCGTGCGTGCCCAAGATCCTGAGAGGAGAATGGAGGAGAAGGGATTGCGGCGTGGCCATCCCCCCTGGGGGGTGATTTCTCACTTTCTGTCTCTATGTCTCTCTCTGTCTGTCTGGCGAGCGCACGCGCCCTATAGCAAAAATCTCTCAAAAAAAAAAAAAGAGAGATGGAATCTGAACTTCCTTCCACATCACAAGTTAAAAGCTACAAGACTATAGTTTAACCAAGGGTGTGCAAAGCATTCAGATTGCATTGATTCCTGATTCTGATGCCTTATAGATTTGATGCTTACATTATGGGTAAGACTATAAAGAACTGGGAATGGCTTTAGTAAATGGAAAACAACACTGTCTAGGAAACTGTTCTCCTGAGCTGAGAATTATTCTTGGTAAGTTCCATTGTGAACTAAAGGAAGCATGGCCACCACTGGTAAGTTCTTGACCATATAACTCATGCCATGTCTAGGATTAATAGGACCACTTCACTATAAAAAATACTGAATGTCAAGGAAAATCTTTCTGACAAATCAAGTTCCAGACTAACCTACAGGTCTTGAGACCTGTGAAATGGACATTTTAGTGCACCAGCCAGTGACTAGTTAAATTTAGTCCAGATTGGAAGGTAAGTGTTTAAGTAGGCACCCAATCAACCACTAAACACCCATTGTACTCATTAAGCATGAGATTACTGTCTTCGCTGGTCAGAATCTGTTTTCCCTTCTTGGGATGTCTTGCCACTAGGTGGAGAGTTAACAGCTTTTCTCAATACCAAATAACAGAACAGCCAGGCATGTGGCTGGCCTTGGGGTGTCTCATTTGCATTCACATGACATTTCTAATGGGAAGGTTTTTAGAATGTTCCACGCTAAACAAGTTGTGTTAATATATGAAAACAGACCAGAATAAAGAACCAGGCAGTTCTGGACAGTTCTCACTGTCCCTGCCAGCACCTTCCAGCAGGATCTGGTACAGAAGCCTGAGCTTCTAAGGGGTGACAGGCCTCTCAGGGTCGTGAGCCAAAATGTTCTGATTGGCTGTGAACTGCCTCTTCATGTATGGGGTAGAACTTCCTCTCAGCTCCAGTTTTCATTGTAACTTGGTGTATTTCCCATAGTAAATCTTGGAGGGCCAAAAACTATATTCACTGAGCTTTCCTTGATTATGTGACAGCTCCGAAGAAGTGGGGGGAAGGGATGGAACAAAAGAGGGCATGTTTGTAGCTGGACTGGTTTCTGCAAAATGCCTGGAGGCTTTTGTTATAGATACTTCCATGAGAGCAAAGAGAACCACCAGTGGGCCTGTTGCACAACAGAATGAGTCACAGACAAAGATTTTAAAATCTGTTTCTACTGTGACCTCAGGCTAGCAGGGATTTTCAGTACCTCAGTGCCAGGCAAAATGTATATATGCAGGTATTTAGATAAAGTTAAACACTATTGTGGACCCCTTAATACTTACAGTCACACATAATCCTCCTTTTATGAGATAAATACTAATGGGCAGAAAGGTTAAATAACTTTCCAGGACCACTCAGCTAGTAAGAGATCAGGGATTCAAATCCAGGAAGTCTGCCCTCAGAGTCCCCCCACACTTTATCATCATAAATATTGGATCATTGGAAAAGTCATAGAACAGTTTTGTATAGAAAAATAGATCATGGAACCAGCAGATGACGTAGTGGTTACGTTGCTGGACTCCCACATAGTTGACCGTGGTTCTAGTCCCAGACCTGGCGACTTAAAACACTTGTCAGACACATGTGCATGCGTGCCCAAGATCCCAAGAGGAGGGTGGAGGAGAAAGAACTGCGGTATGACCATCCTCCCAGGGGGTGATTCTTTCTCTCTGATGAGCACATGCACCCTATAGCAAAAATCTCTCTTTAAAAAAAAAAAAAAGAAATAGATCATGACTTTTCCGATGACCCAATATTTTTGATAAAGTCTACGGCAACTCATAAACTTAGCTATTTTTCAAGTGTTAGGAAAGGGGGTAGGAAACTGATGAACTTCATGGTCAAATTGCACTAAATAGAGTCTCTGCTTTACTGTTGAGCTATTTGGCAGTAGTCATGATGAACAAAAGGAGACTCATCTTATTCTAATTCTGGCTTTAACTTCCTCCAATGACTTAAGAAGGGTACCCAGACCTTGACTCAAGTTTCCAGTTCTATCCATTTTCCTTATTGGGCCACTGTTACCAAGGTAATATTTTTACATTCCAGGAAAGGACAATATTGTCCAATAAGGAAATGCCAGTTATTGGATACAGTTTATTTCACAGTCTGCATTATTAGAAGTGCAAGTTGCCATCAGTCATCCATTCATCAAGTGTCCATTCGGCAAACTGTGTGTTTTGCTCAATTCCATCAGTTTTAACATGTTGAAATGTTTGTGTGGTTTGCCTTAATAGGTCTAAAGAACAGTCTACACTGTCATACAAATGGAACGATCACCATCTCTAGATGTGTCTATCCTAGATTTATCCTATCTATCCCAAGGGAAAAAATGTATCTCTGTTTGCATCCTTGCAGGTTGAATTTATTGAGCTGCCATATTTGTTAAGTATTACATTGGGCATCCGATAAAATAGCCCAGAGATATGGTCTAGCCTCTCAAGGAATTTATACTCCAAAATGTCGGTCTGCATGACGCCTTTTGGCTTCTGTTTTTCAAACAGGTGTTGAAAGGAGACGCATCTATGACATTGTCAATGTGCTAGAGTCACTGCATCTGGTCAGCCGGGTGGCTAAGAATCAGTATGGCTGGCATGGACGACACAGCCTGCCAAAAACCCTGAGGACCCTCCAGAGATTAGGAGAGGAACAGAAATATGAAGAGCAGATGGCATACCTCCAACAGAGAGAGCTGGACCTGATGGATTATAAATTGGGGGAACGTAGAAAAGATGGTTATCCAGATCCCCAAGATCACCACTTACTGGATTTCTCTGAACCCGACTATCCCTCCTGTGAGTCCATTATAATCTCATGAGTCATGGCAGACAGTGGTGGCCCCTCCTGAAAAGAATCACTAAGATGGAAAGGGCCAGATGGATAAGCCTGGAGGAAGATGTCTTCTTATTCTATCTACTGAAGAAAGGCAGACAGATGGCTCCCCTACTGGGCTGCCCACTGGACCTCACTGAAAACCTGTCTGGTGGCAGTTTGCTCAGTGTTTGGCATGTTTGGGCCATGGATCTCTAACAGTGCTCTCGTTATGGATTGACAGCCCCATACTGCTCTTTTTGTGAGACTTTAAAATTTACTTTGAAGAAGCTTTTTTCTTCAAAGAGTTCTATTTAATTATATGTTAGAGTAGATTAGAAAAGAACCTCATTTGTAGAAAATGTTGAAAAGAGAAATAGACAACCCCTGCTTTTATTTGGTGCATTTTCCTGTTTTCTGTCTGCACTGTTCCCTTCCCAAATTATATTACTAATCTTCCTGTGTTAGCAGTGATCTTCATCCTTCTCACCCTCCTCCTCATGGCTAAGATGAGAAAGGACAAGTGTCATATTTCACTTACAAATGTAAGAAATAGAAATGGAAAGAAAGGTGGGCCTGGCATTCATCAGATTCATGGCCTTGTACCTTTTAGTTCCACCTCACGAGCCAGTAATTATCCTGATAACCAGAGAAGACGGCCATCTGTCAGGAGTGGTTTTCCTGCCCTCCACAGGAGTGCACATTTCATCAAATTCCTATTTTTGTAGTTTATTTACTCACCTATTTCTGGAGGAAAAAAAAAAAATGTAAGCTATGGGCATTACTGTTTTAGGTATTTTAGATATTGTCAGCACAGAGAAATAAAAATGGTGTTCTCACCTTTAGGAAGGCAAGTTGATGCCCTAGAAACAATTTCTGATCCTTATTCTTGTACGGATTTCATGTCCTTCTACATTACTATTTTCAATTTAAATGTGTATATTTAAATATACAAAGCATAAGTAAAAAGCATTAGGAGTGGTTTACATATGCATTTTGGGGAGCCAGCAGGTGGTGTGGCAGTTAGGGTGCTGGTCTCCCACATGACTGACTGTGGTTTGAAAATCATACTGGGCAGATGTGCATGTGTGTCCAAAATCCTGAAAGAATAGAGGAGAAGGGACTGTGGCCTCCTTAGGGCGTGCTTTCTCACTCACATTTCCACTTTCCCTTTGTGTTTCTGGTGACCACATGCACCCTGTGGTTAAAAACCTCAAAAAATAATTTCAGAATTGATGCCTATTGTACAGTAATCTTATGATCCTTAAAATCCACTGCATTTCTTTATGAGCCAACTTTTATGATGGGTCCAGTAGGTTTCTGCCTATAATAGGCTGGTCTTTCCATCTTTTGATAGACTTAGCTAGTTCTGGCAAACTAAGTCCTTGTTTTCTTGTGGTCAGTTGTAACGCTGTGATGTTTATTTTGTTCTTTTTGTAGCATCTGCAAACAGTAGAAAAGACAAGTCGCTGAGAATCATGAGCCAGAAGTTTGTCATGCTGTTTCTCGTCTCTAAAACCAAGATCGTCACTCTGGATGTGGCTGCCAAAATACTGATAGAAGAAAGCCAAGATACCCCAGACCATAGCAAATTCAAAAGTAAGAGTCTTCACCCAAATCTACGTATCCACACAGAAGGGGTGGGATTTCACAGGTTGATATTTTTTGGCTGAGATGATATGTATAGCTTGTTTTTGAGAAATGTGCTCCTCCTTGGCACTCACCAAGGTTGATGGTGCTGGGAGAGAGAAGCTGGTTGCAAACTGGCAGAGAAGCGGGGTGCAAACTGGCATGCCTGGTACAGTCCTGCAGATGCTTTTCCTCTGTGGTTACGGTGGACAGTCAGGGAGGGTGTGAATTACTTTGCATTTCTCTTTAGTATTGCTGCATCCAAGACAGAATGTCTGAGTTTTCTTTCCCTTTTTTCCCCACCCCCTGCATACTCTTCTGAAGGGTGGAGTTGAAAGTTGTCTACAGGTAAGAACCAGAGGAATGGCCAGGGAATGGGTGGTGGGACGTGGCTACTGGACAGGGAGCGTGTCTCTGAGTGTCACACCCAGTGCATCTTCCTTTTCTGTTATCTTCAGTCCTGAGCCAAATGCCCTGGTCTGCTTAAGTAGCCTTTTCTAACCCTCAGAAGCATTGAGCTCCGTGTTCTCTAGCTTTTTTGTTGCTGTTTATTTCCAGCTGGAATTACGGCTACTCTGGGGGTAAAATGGCTAGGTAAAATCCAGCTCTGTCAAGATGAAAAGAAAACTGTATCTAGGGTGAATGCTTAATGTTTCTGGATGATAATCTAAACTCCTTTGTTTGTTCTGAGCCCTGGAGTCATGTGGGCCTCCTACCTGTACATCAATTTCCTGAATAGATTATACTTTGTGTTCATTGTCCTGCCCATTGAATGTGTTGGCACCCCATCAGGCCTAACTTCAAATGTCTCACCCAAAGTGTCCTCTGAGAGTCAGAGAATGCCCATCTCACCTCTTGCGCACTGGGTGGTCAGAACAGCAGGATGGCCGGGAGGGGCTGGCTGTCATGAGCACAGTTGTACCTCATAACCTTGAATCCTGGGCATCCTGGGTGCCCCAGAGTGCAGCCTGCAGGAAGCTCAGGGGAAGCCCTGTCATTTTCACAGGCCAGCTGCCTGGTGGAGCTGGTGCCACTACCTCCTGTGGATAGAGACCAGGGCAAGTTCTTGACGTGCCATGTAGCAGAATTTCATTTACTAAGCCTTTAATTACAGCCTTTTTCCTCCCTTGGTGTTTTTGCAATCACAACACTCCCTGCTTGTCACCAAGTGCTTCTTGTACAAGGTGTGAAGCTGTGGAAATGGAAGGACATACTGACCTTCTCTTAGTGTGTGTCCCCAGATATATAAAGCCTGGGTGATTTCACGGTGGAGTGATCGGTCTCCTCATCCCACCCGCTGCTCTCTGCTTGAAGTTTATGTGGTGACTGGAAAAAGTTACCTGTCATAGAGACTAAAATGTCATGGTGTCACAGACGGCGTAACCATAATTGTGTTTTATATCTTCAAGCAAAGGTACGACGCCTCTACGATATAGCCAATGTTCTGACCAGCCTGGCTCTGATAAAGAAAGTACACGTCACAGAAGAACGAGGCCGCAAACCAGCCTTCAAATGGATTGGGCCTGTGGACTTCAGCTCCAATGGTAAGGCAGTGTGGTTTTCCTAGCGAGCTGTTTTATTGAAAATCCTGATTTTTTTGCGGGGGGGGAAGGACTTTGTTTTTTGTTTTTATTTTATTTATTTATTTATTTTTTTAACATTTATTTGTCATGATTTTTTAAGCTGCTAGTTCCGGGACTCAAACTGTGGTCGGTCATGTGAGACTCTAGCACCTTAACCATCATGGCCTCTTACTGGCCCCCCCTGAGTTCCTTTTTTAAAGCATCATTACGCAGCGAGACTGAGCTCTCCTCTAATCCAGGTCACACACACGGTTAGACTAGGGACGTCACCCCTGGAGTGGTGAGCGTTAGCCTACACACCGTGTGCAGTGGTTGGCGCACAGAGAAAGAGAAATCGGAGCACTTAGAACAGTTTCTGTAACTATCAAATTGTAGGTCTTTAGAATTATTTTGTATTGAAGTTTTGTCCTGGAAATTTGGGACCCAGAATGAAACACGACACTTCTTTTCCATGCTGGTTGTTTCTATTTTAACAGAATGAAACAGCTGTTTGTCTTTGAAATTCCAGACAATGTAAAAAAAAAAAATTACATCAATTCCTGTTGCAGACGAATAGGTGGTAGGATTGTTTCTAAATACAGGATGGATGTCATAAACACCCTTTTTGTCATTTATTTAAAATATTATACTTGACATAGTTTTAATCAACTGGAGTAAAAGAGGGCATCTTCTTATTTCATGGGAAAAAATGAGTAATCTGTGACCAGGTCCTGTACCAGCCACTTTGCATGTAGCTGTGCGGCCTGGGAAAAAAGCCATTAATGTTATTTTTAAATTATCCTTCTAATTTTGGTGTTATTGTATAAATTTATGCCACTTAACCAAGGCTTATAAAAGTTATAGCTCTCCACCTCACTTGTAATACATTATTCACTGAGGATCTAGCTGAAACCACTTAAAGTCAAGTATAACTAATTCAACCCAGCAAGAATTCACTGAGCGTGGACTATGTGCCCGTCACTATAGCGTATGCCCTGAGAGAGTGAAGATGTATGTGATGTGGCCCCCGGTCGTGTGACATAGGCAATTTTGCCACTTTCTGCTTCTCTGCTTTGGGTTCACCCATGCAGCTCTCTTATTTGACATAAAAACACTACTCAATCCATAAGTTCTGGCTCAAATGTTAATTCCTCCATGAAGTTTTCCCTGATCACCTAAAGCAAAAAGTACCTCATTTGAACAATTGTAATTTAGTATTGTGGTTGTCTTTGATGCAGTTGATATTGCCCCTGCCCTACACATGTGAGGATGGATGTTGTCTTTATTCACCTTTGATTATCTCATAGGACCCAGAACAGTGCCTTACTGACTTCTATTGATTAATGAGCTTCTATTGAAAGTGTATAATTAGCACACTTTGAAAGTTAAACACTAGACAGGGTAGTACTGGATGTGTGGGAATTCAAAGAAGATACAGGTTAAGTTCTAATGAACTGCTAGATTTTGGAGAGATAAAGGAACAGCTTGTATATGACAAATCTGGTCTGTGCTAGGGAGATCAACCACCTTAATTTAAATGGAGAACATAGGCTAAAACATAATGAGATAAAAGTAGATTAATTAGAACCACATTCCTGGAAGGCTTGAAAAATTGAGCCTAGAAATTTGGACTACATGTAATATGCAGAAGTGACAAGGAATCTTTGGGTGTTGAGGTTAACCAGAAGAAGGACTCACAGGTGGTGATGGTGCCATTAAAAAAAAGCAGGATAGGGACCAGCGGTTAGCGTAATGACTATGTCGCTGGACTCCCATGTAGTCGACTGCGGTTTGAGTCCCGGACCTGGCGACTTAAACTCACGCTGGGCGCGTGTGCGTGCATGCCCAAGATCCCGAGAGGAGAATGGAGGAGAAGGGATTGCGGCGTGACCATCCCCCCTGGGGGGGTGATTTCTCGCTTTCTGTCTCTATGTCTCTCTCTGTCTGTCTGGCGAGCGCACGCGCCCTACAGTGAAAATCTCTCCAAAAAAAAAAAAGAAAGCAGGATAGCTAGGGAGGTGACTCAGTGCTGAGAAGACAAGCTCGTGCATTTGCACAACTAGTAAAATGGCAACTGAGTGAACTCTGATCTAGCATAGGAGAAAGGGTGTTGGAGCCAGATCAGGAACCTCAACCTGGCCTTTTTTGTTTAATTTGCCAGAGGGTGTATATGCTCAGTAGAGAGAACCAGAGACCGAGAAGACACCTCCCCAGTGGGGCATGGTCATGTTGCAATGCCTTCTCCATTTCTCCATCCCATCGGAATCTTGGACATACATGCATATGTGTGCAACATCTTCTCAAGCCATCACAGTCGACCATGTGGGATCTGGCTCCCATAACCACCAGGCTGCAGGGCTGACCCATTATTTTTTGTGTCTCTCAGAAATATGGTTCTCTTTTTGTATTCTCCACTTCCACTACTGATAGCATCATCATCAACTGAGCAACCACGTTTGGAACATTGGGACTAGAGGAAAGGTGTCACAGCATGACCAGACCTTGCATGATGGTCTCATCTCTCTCCTTCACATGCACACACACTATCGTGAATAAAAGGGGGGGAGGGATTAGAAGGAAGGAAAAACTAGCACAAGTGAACAAGGTAGGGTGGACTGGACAACAGCAATGGCTGCCTGAGTCTGTGTAGTGAGCTGTGTCTCAACTTCACAGAGGATTCTTTAAGCACAGTGTGTGCCTCCAGGGCCCAGGCTTCTGTTTTCCTTACTATTCTGTGGCAGTTTCACCATGAGATTTCTGCTGACCTTATTCCTTTGGTCACTTAGAAACTGAGCCCCCTACTGCAGAAGGAGGCTACAAAAAAAGCTCATAGGAAATAGAGATTCGTAGACTCATTGTCCTAGATCTGTGGCATATGAGCCTGATTTTAATTCTTCTTGAAAGTGAATCTCTAGATATGCATGTTGGGCTGAGCGTGATTGGGTTTTTCTTTGATACTCTCTTCCCAGATAGAGCATTAGAAATGTCAGGCCCATTCTAATTTGGGTTGAAGAACGTCCTGCTCTACTTTTGTTACAGTTCAGATAATTTTAGAATGTCTATGGATTCCATCTCATTTTATAGTCATTCACTGACTTAAAGAAAAAAAAAGGTACATTGAAAGATATTGGGGTTTAAGACGACCCTTATAAAATGTCTTTGGTTGTCTTCATTTTTGGCATATAGGGTCGCTCCATTGTAGTTACAGGTTCAATGTCATCTCTTCAAAGGACTTAAATTATCCTGACTTCTAGCTGCATAACACTACTACCAATTTTCTCATTTATGTAGATGAAGAATTAGTGGATGTTTCTGCATCAGTCTTACCAGAATTGAAAAGAGAAACAGCATATAGCCATATTCAAATCTGTGCAAGACAGAGACTGGCTCGTCATGGTTCTTTTAACACTGTCCAGGCTCCTGAGCGGATCCAGAGGAAAGTGAACTCAGAACCCAGCAGCCCATACAGAGAAGAGAAAGGTACCTGCCCAGCTTAATCTTTGAGACCCATCAGTTGCCATGTAATTGTAGCCCTACCCTGGTGCTAGCATTATGGAATGAACTGACTCTTGGGCCCTGTTTTTCCTAGAGATCCACTTTCATTTACCCAAAGCAAAACAATTATTTGGAGTAAAAGAGATGCTGATGTCACAATGTACAAACATAGATCCATGCCAGAAATTGATCCAGGTCAGCTTTGAAGATATTTGGTTTGCATGGTTGGCCTGATTTTTCTCAGAAATTTATCAGACTTAGAAAGCAACACTTTTGTTTTTTAAATGAGAGGGAAAGATTTTTGACTGCATTTCACTATGCCTCGATCTTCCTGGCTCCAACTTGTAGTTAGGTGGGATTAAAGCCAGGCACCACTATGCCTGACTTGCTTTTAGGTTGGTCCAGGAAATGAACACAGGCCTCCCATGTGGCCCCAACTTAATGCCACAGCTCTCTACTGCTGGTGCCACTGCAGCTGGGCCCTGTGACACTTACTTTGTTTTAATAATCTTCCTGACACCCAAATTCACCATTAACAGGAAACATCTAGAAATTTCTCTCTTTGAATCAAAACCAGAATGGATTTAAAATAGTCTTATAATCCCTGAGCTGTTAATAATGAATTCTGCTGTATATAATTGGTGTGTATAAATCTTTTGCTATAGTTGTTAAACCTTTATTTTCCTTTTCAGTATCAGGTGGCTACTCCTTAGAAATTGGAAGTCTAGCTGCTGTCTACAGACAGAAAGTAGGAGACAATTCACAGTAAGTAGTCTTTAAAAATGAGAGTAGTCTTTTCTGGTTTCTACTGTTAATACTGGCAAAATTGAAATGCCATCCATCAGAAAATAAAATTTAAGTCAGTCAGAATTTCCCCTTGGTACTCAGTATTGTATAGTAAATAGTGTCAGAGAAACCAAAGTGTGAAAATGTTATCCCATAAGCTATCATAGCTTATAGGGAACAAAATACAAAGACAATTATAGTGAAAAAAGACAATTTACTGCTAACATGGCACAGAAATAATACATGTAACATCATGAATCACTTTGTCATTACCATAGCCAATTTGGTTTACTAAAAGATATTGTTCCAAAGCTTTATATATACTAACCTACCTGATTGTAACCGTAATCTTTTGAGATTAGTACTGTTATCCTCATTTTGCCGAGAGGATACTGAAACCTAAGGAGGTTAAATAACTTGGTTGAGATCACACCTCTAGTAAGTGACAGAGCTGGGATTCAAACCTAGGTCACTTGACTTAAATCCGGGGGTCTGATTTTAAAGGAAATTATATGAGAGAAAGCAGAAGAAGTGGTAGAACAAGAGAGGATTTTAACGGATAAGGGAAGAAACATTGTGAGTCAAGGTCAGAGAGTGGAGGCACAAAGCTGATTAGCTGAGCTGTAATGATTTGTCCATGTAGGATAGGAAAAGGAAATATCATTTATAAGACAGGCTTAGGTCTTGAAGGTAAGTAGGCCAAATAGGAAAAAACTTGAAAATCCAGGAGGAGAGTCTGGGTTCATCAGACAGTAAGAACTCCTGCAGGTTCACAGATCATTCCAGGAGCATTAAGCAGGCGGGATTAGAAGTAGACACGGCTGCAGATCACAGCACAGAGCACTTGCAGTCACTCTGGTTTGCTGCGGCTCAGATCTGAGCTTGCCAGCTGGAGCTGGACGATGTGGAAGTCAGCGTGAGACAGTGAGTCAGCAAGACTCACTAAAGGGAACAGGTATCAAAAGGGACATCTGAGGGGCTGGCAGGGACACAGCAGAAAACATGATGCTTGGAGGCTGACCCACATGGGACAGTTTTGGGTTCATGTCTGGAGACCTGCCGGAGTACACCACGCACATGCATACCCATGATCCTGGGGCTGGCAGATGCTGGAGTGGATAGCAGTGTCAAGACCCTGTTACGAGGTTGCTGTCTGCCTCGATAGCTCATGGAAGAAATAAGCAAAAAAAAGAACATCTGAGTTTCAGATGATGATCTTGTTGGTGGAGACGGGGAGGTTGGAGTTGGATGGCTAGAGGTAGGATGGGTGTGGTATTCGGTGTAGCATGTTGAGTTTCACAGAGCTGGGGAGTTCCAGTTACTCACTCAAAAGGAGCTGTGACTGGAGAGGCGTGCTCAGCTCTGCAGCCCAGTGCAGTAAATTTTATGCTCAGCATCACGATGAACAGGGAGCTAGTGGGCAAGTAAGTCTCCGTGATGCCATCAGAAAGGCGGGAAAAAACCCCATCCTCTATTTACGGTCTTAGAAGATTCTCCTCTATTTCTGAAGAATATGCTGAAAACATACATGGTTTTGAATATTTGGGAATTTTTCTTTTTAAAAGGCTTAGACTTTTTTTTTTTTTTTTTTTTTGGAGAGGTTTTTGCTATAGGACACATGTACTCAACAAAAAGACAGAGAGACAGAAAGCTAGAAATCACCTCCCAGTGGGGGTGGCCATGCCACAATCCCTTCTCCTCCATTCTCCTCTTGGGACCTTGGGCATGCATGCACACACACCCAATGTGAGTTTAAGCCACCAGGTCTGGAACTTGAACTGCTGTTGACTACATGGGAGTCCAGCGACATAGCCGTTACACCAACTGCTAGTCCCTATAATCTCATAATAATGGATCTTAAATTTTTTGTGGGGAGGGAGAGGTTTTTGCAATAGGGCTCATGGGCTTGCCAGAGACACAGAGACTGTGAGAAATCACTCCCCAGCCGGGATGGTCATGCCGCAATCCCTTCTCGTCCATGCTCTCTTGGGATTTTGGGCACACATGCACATGCACACGGCCTGAGGTTCAAGCTGCCAGGTCCGAGATTCGAACCACAGTCAGCCATGTCAGAATCCAGCACCTTAACCACTACACCAACTGCTGCTGGCCCCAATAAATTTTAATTTTAAATGTGTGCTGCCTAAATGTCTTTTAGTAATAATGAGGCGAATAGGGCAAGAACGACAAAGTAATAATTTAGTAGTTATTTCCTCACTCACTGTCCACTTCATTTACTTCACACTGGATTTGAGATAAAGTAGATTAGTCTTTTCTATATCGAAGTCTGGTCCAGTCTCTTATCTTCCTGGGCTTTGCTGTCAGACAGACAGCCATGGGGCCCAGCTTCCTCACGTGAGAGCCGGGTCACCCAAGGCAGCCTGCTTCCGTTTTCCTCACTAGTAACCAGGGGCCTAGGGCTGAGAATAGCGACCATTATACTGTATAAAATTATGATATTTTGCTAATTGTAATAACATTGATATGCCTGGAAAGGGGGAAGGTATTTGGTAATTGATAATGATTAGATATGGACGAGATGGAGAAGTAGCCAGTGTGAGCTCTCACTGCTATGCCCCTTCAGCTCTCCCCACATGGGCTCTCCCTGCCCATCTCTAACCATCCGTCCAGGTTACCCGGCCATCTGCCCCAGCACTCCGGGCATGCATCCCACCATCAGCGTTGGTGGTCTTACTCCCCCCTAACTGGAGTGGTGCTCTTTAGGACAGCAGTGGGGCAGGAGTAGAGTGTGGTGACTGGACAGTACTCATTCTCTTTCTCCTTATTACAGGGAAAAAGCCTTTGGCAGTAAGAGAGAGCTACCTCCTTCAAGCATCTTGGACCCTGCTGCTCCTTTCCCTGTCCCCTCGGTGGACTCAGAGTATCGCGTTAGCCCTTTAGCCCATCAAGTATTTCCCATCGCTCAAACGGACTTGCCAGCGTTCTCCGTGCAGAATGGTCTGAATGGACAAGCGGGCACCACGCTTGCTCCAGCAGCCTCTGACGCCGAATGCACAAAGCCAGCCCTGCTTGCCAGCCAGCCCTTGGTGTACATGCCCCCCACCTCGCTGTTTATGCTGTATGGACGCCTGCAGGAGGGACCATCTCTAGGGGCAGGGGCAGAGAGGGATGGCAGAAGCTCAGAAGGCCCCACCCCAGCAGAGCTCTCATCCGCACTCTCAGCTCAGAAGCGGCTCTGTGAGGAAAGGAAGCCTCAGGAGGAGGAGGAGCCCGCCACCAAAAGACAGAGTAGGGACTACGAAGACGGCCCTCTGTCCCTTGTCATGCCCAAGGTAAGCGGGTGCAGGTGGATGTGTCTGGTGACATCCCATTATCTTGAGTGGCTTCCTGATGAAGACAGAAGCAGATATTACTAAGCAACTGAGTCTGGAAGATGAGGGTATTCTGTGTGTCATTTACGTAACTAAGCACTGGACTGGCTGTCCCAGTAATCTTGCCATAAAATAGTCTATAAGAAAAGTGATTTTTATAAAAGTCACACTTTGTATAACATGCTAAAAAATATAAAGAAAAAAACATTACCGATAGTCAGTTCCACCCCATAGTGGTAACCAGTGTTAACATGTTTTCATATTTCCTCTCAATCCTTTTTTGGACTGTAAGCCAAATCGAGATCCCTAAAATCATTCTCATAATGCAGGGTGCTCTCTGGCTGTCGGACTCTGTGTGGTCAGTTCCCCTCACTGTTCAGTGATCCTGTTTCCCTACCTCCTAAATGAAAATGAAAATATGAGCTGTCCACATCTGCTTAGTAGCTATTCAGAGGTTAATGAGATATGACCAGTGAAACGCTCAGAAAGCAGAAATATTGTCATTACAGCAGTTTGCAGAGGGTCAGCTAGACAGTCTGTGGAAATCATTCTATTAATTAAGACTCTTTCTCCTCTACTCCTTTCTCTTGACAGAATGAATTTTTCTAATTTAGTGTATGGCCTGGGGCTGCAGATTAGTAAATGAAAGGCCAACTGGCATATCACCCAGATGACTTCAGGCTAGCCCAAAGCTTCCATGAACCCCAAAAGACTGCAGTATCAACACCATTTTTGTGTGAGCAGCTTTATTTATTTCATAGTCAACACTATGGCCGGTTTTCCGTCACTAAAATCTATCACGTCTATACATGGGAGTCATAAGCCTACAGATACACATGACATCACATTTTCAGACCACTCCTATAAAGAGCATTAAAACAACCGACACAGAAATCAGAGTGGCCCTCAACCACATTTCACCTTTTAGTTTGGGTATTGGCTGTTTTGAGAAAGCTGTTACAAGATTTAATAACAGCTTTAATCACACTAGCAGGTGGTGTGGTTAAGGGGCTGGATTCCCACATGGCCAACCACAGTTCAAGTCCTGGACCTGGTAGCTTGAAACTCACACCAGGTGCATGTGTGTGTGGGTGTGTGCGTATGTGCCCACAATTCTGATAGGAAAATGGAAGAGAAGGAACTGTAACGTGGCCGTCCCCACTGAGGGGTGATTTCTCACATTCCTTCTCTCTCCAGTGAGTACACATGCCTATGACAAAAAATACTCAAAAATAAAAAAAATGTGCTACTGTAATTGTGACTTCCTTTTCTGCTTTCTGGTTTTATTTTGCTTAGAGATCCTCAGACTCCACAGACCTTACCTCCCCCAAGACCAGGGATAATGGGGGCTCTAATCCCCTTGAGGACATTCATGTGAATGGCCAACTTCCTGCTGCAAAGGAGGCTTCGGGAAAGGCTACTGCAAACTCCTTTGTTTCTTCTGAGTGGGGAACTTCTTTAAGAAATACAGATATTGAAAAGGCTTCAAAAGAAAGTGAAAGCACCAAAGAACCCTCTTTGCTGCAGTATCTCTACGTGCAGTCTCCAGCTGGTAAGGTTACCATCGTGTCTCAGAGGCTGTTATGGTAGTCAGACCATAAATTAGATTTTGATATTGTCATCGTTCATTGATGTGCTCCTGTCCATGGTCTCTGAGTCATGTTATCCCTGGTCTCTCTGTTTTTTCCATTCGTAAAATGAAGGCAGATGCTTCTTCTCCATCCACCAACATCGAGGAAAATAATCCAGGCAGTGTGACCCTTTTTTGAATGTGTTAAACTTTATATGCTAAAAAATATGACAAGTTCAAAGATAATTTTACTTTTATAATTGAACTCAATCTGCCTTTGGTTTGGTATAGTAATCTGAAACTATTGGCCATTCCATGTAGCTAGCATTCTGATCTCTGGAGTACCCAAAAGTACTGAATATATAATATATAATCATGTTCAAGTACCAGGGCTGGAGTAAGAGGGCTTGATGTTTAAAACCACTTATTATCTGCATGAATTTAAGACAAGTATTCAGCCGTCCTCATTGGTAAAACAGCAAATTAATAGCACCTGCTTCACAGGGGTTCTGTGAAAACTGAATTAAATTTAATAAGATAATACCTCTGAAGCACTTACAATAATAGTGATAATAGTGCCTGGCACTTAGTAAGACCCAACAGATGCTGTTACTATTTTGAATTAAAGCCGAAATACAATAGATACCTAATTTTTAAGATACATGCTGTGTATATAAAGCTGCTCTTGATGCGAGGATACTTAAATTGATTTGCCTCAATTCCTTGTCAATTTTAGCCTAACCTACCAGAATAGGTTAAGTAGGTATTTATTATTATTCACTTATCTAGAAAACATCTTTATTGTGTTAACAAAATTTTTTAAAAATTTTCTTTCTTTCCTGAGAGGGACAGGCACTCCACACAAGGTCCCCCCAGTGTCAGCCAACCCAGATCACAGACACAGCCACCCACACCTTCCCAGTATGCTCCGAGAAGTACTCAATACAAACCTAGGACCTTCCCCATGTGGGCCAAGTTGCGTGACCACTGTACCACCACCTGACCACCTTCACCAGATACATTTTGAGAGTTCACTTAAGCGTGACACTTAGTATTGGGTATACACTGATGAACAAAAATGATAATGATTAGAGCCAGCAGGTGGCATGGTGGTTAAGGCACTAGATTCCCACATGGCTGACTGCAGTTCAAATACCAAACTCAGTGACTTAAAAAAATCACAATAGGGACCAGCAGTTAGCGTAATGGCGATGTTGCTGGACTCCCACATAGTCGACCGCTGTTCGAGTCCCGGACCCGGTGGCTAAAAATCACACCGGGCGCATGTGCGTGCGTGCATGCCCAAAAGCCCGAGAGGAGAATGGAGGAGAAGGGATTGTGGTGTGGCCATCCCCCCTGGGGGGTGATTTCTCGCATTCTATCTCTCTCTGTCTGGAGAGCGCACACGCCCTATAGCAAAAAACCTCTCCAAAAAAAAAAAAAAAAAATCACAATAGATCAATAGATAAATAAATGTTTAAAAAAAAAAAAAAAGAAAGCCCAGCACAAGGATTTTTAATTTTTTCTGTGCCCTGGACCTTCTGACCATCTAATAAAGTCTAGGGAGTCCTCAAAATGTTTATAAATGCATAGGATTTACATATATATGTATAAGTACATAGGATTATAAAGGAAACCAATTACACTAAAATACAATTTAAAAAATAACTTAAAGTTACTATAGTAGTGGGACCAGCAGATGGCATAATGGTTTCGTCGCAGGACTCACGTGGTCAACCACAGTTTGAGTCTCTGACCTGGTGGCTTCACACTCACACCAGGCACATATGAATGCATGCCCCAAATCCTGAGAGGAATACAGAAGACAAGAGATTGCGACCTGGCCATCATCCCCGGAGGGTGATTTCTCAGTTTTTGTGTCTGTTTCTCTGGCAAGCACCCGTGCCCTATAGCAAAAATCTCTCAAAAAAAGAAAATTACTTATAGTAGTAAAAAGATCTGGAGGCAAATTTGATACTTTTGTAATTTCAGAGTTTTAATGAACCTGTGTTAAGAAATCTGCAATAGCAATAATGTAATATGAACTGTGTGTTTCGCTAGTGACAAAGTCAAGGTACTATGAATACCGTTGTGATTCGTTGCCTGTGATCGTAACGGAGGGAAATATAAACGCCACAAAGACTGTTTTCCCTCTCCAAGTTTCCCTTTCATCCTCAGCTTGGGCTCAGAGGAACAAACCCACATTAAGAACTCTTCACAGCTATCTGCCAAATGACCACACAGAGAAATGTGGGATTTGAATCTTGGCCACGTCTGTGAAGGAACAGAATGGGGCTGGGTGAGCACAGAAAGGTAGTTTGGCCTACTCAGGTTGGGGAAGGTCTCATTTCCATTCACTGATTGTGGACCCCATTTGAAAGGGCCGTGAGGGATGGGAGTTTGAACGCTATCTCTGTGCTGTGTTGATTTCCACCTTGTCCTGCTTCTGTTGCAGGATTGAATGGTCTCAATGTGCTCTTACCTGGCAGTCAGACCCCACATTCTGCCGGGCCGTCTTCAGGTCAGCTGCCAGCCTTCAGTGTCCCGTGCATGGTCCTACCATCTCCAACACTGGGCGCTTTTCCTGTCCTCTATTCTCCGGCCCTGCCTGGGCAGGTTGCTTCTGCCCCTGGCACTCTGCCAAACACAGGACCTGTGAATTTTGGCTTGCCTGGCCTCGGATCAACAGCTCATCTTCTCATCAGCCCTGCAGCCATGGTTAATCCAAAGTCATCCACACTCCCTTCTGCAGACCCTCAGCTTCAGACCCAGCCTTCGCTTACCCTGAGTCCAGTGATGTCGAGGTCACACAGCGTTGTCCAACCTGATTCCCCTGTTTACATGGGACACCCAGTCTCAGTAGTAAAACTACCACAGGTAAGGTGTGAAATTTCTTGAAGTTTCCATCATTGTCACAGAAAATACCTGCATTTAATGAGCTTTCATTTTATGCACAAAACTATAGGACAGAGGTGCTAGGTCAAACTCTACCTGGTTTCCATTCTAGACCCAGAGTTGTATACTTATTTTATAAAACATTGAAACGTTAAGGTGAGAGATCTTGTGCTTTAAAGGTGTGTGTGTGTGTGTATTATTGCCAGAGGGCACATGCGCTTGCTAGAGAGAAAACAGCAGGGCGTGGTCACGCTGCAATCCTTTTTCCTCCACTTCTCCATCCTATCAGAATTTGGAGCATGTGTATACACTGGGCACATTTTTCAAATCTCCAGGGCTGGGATTCCAACCTCAGTCAGCTATGTAGGATCCAGTTCTCTGTACACAGGGATTAACCACTAGTCCACAGGGCTGCCCCTACACCTCGTTTTTTTCTTTTGTTGTCATTCTGTTTTTTTAGAATTAGAGGGGACATACTTTAAGCATAGTTCAAGGGTGATTTTGAGGAATGCTAAATAGTTAGATAATTTCGATGATCTCCAAGCTTTCCTTCTATTTAATTGATAAAAGAAGCTATTCTAAATTTTAATTGTACAGCTATAGAAACAAAGAAAACAAACATCCAATACTAACTCAGATTCTTTGGTTCGGTCATTTCTCAAGAGGTGGCAATGAGTATTTATGTTTATTCATAAACCATATAAAAATGGACATCTAGTCTTCCCCAGATATCCACAGGGCATTAGTTCCAAAACCATTGTGAATATCAAAATTTACAAGTGTTCAAGTCCCAGATACAAAGTGGCATGGTATTCATATATAACGTAAACATCCTCCTGTTTATTTTCATCATCCTTGTAATTTTTCCGAGAGCCCATATACTCACCAGCAATGGGGGTGGGGACAGTCCCCTACTGGGGAAGCAGTCACACCATGATCCCTTCTCCATCTCTCATTTTGGGATTCTGGGCTCATACACAACTTCCCGCATGTTTCCCAAGTCACTGGGTCCTGGACTTAAACTGCACAGCTGGGCGTGGAGGATCCAGCTGCCTTAACCTCCACACCACAAGCTGCCCCCCAGCCCCCCGTATACTTTAATCACCTCTAGATTACTTATAATACCAAGTACAATGTCTTCATATTGGACTCAGCATAGAACTCCGTATGTGGCAAATTCAAGTCCATTTCAAGTGACCAAAAATACTTTAGACAAGTTTCTTAAAGGCTCAGAGGTTCCTAATCATTGAAGTAAACTCATTAGATTTTAGACAGGACGATTATAGCATTCATTACATATGCTTTCTGATTGCCAGTTAATGCACCAGCACTGATCAAGGCAGTGAAGATACAGCAGGAAACAGGATGCTCCTGCCATGCCAGGGCACATGAAGGGGAAATATTTGGCATTTAACACAAGAGGATAAATATTAGTAAATAAGCAAGAAGGGTCAACACACATTTTGTTTGCCTCACATGCTCTAACATGCTTTATAAATACTATTTAATTCTTACAGCCCTGTGAAGTCAGTACCTTCTATTGCATGGATAGAAACCAAAGGAAAGATTAGTTAAGTAATTTGCCCAGAGTTACATATGGCAGAGCCCAAATCCTAGCTCCAGGGTCCATACTTAAAACCTTTTTGGTCAACTGGTTTTCTGCACCCAAAGTAAATGTAACTGTAATTTCCAGGTGAGGTAAGTGTTTTGGAGGAGATGAGTAGAATTATTAGGACGCAAAAGCAGGGAACCAGCAGTTAGCGTAATGGCTATGTCGCTGGACTCCCACGTAGTCGACCGCGGTTCGTGTCCCGGACCCGGTGGCTTAAAACTCACGCCGGGCGCGTGTGCGTGCGTGCCCAAGATCCCGAGAGGAGAATGGAGGAGAAGGGATTGCGGCGTGACCATCCCCCCTGGGGGGGGGTGATTTCTCGCTTTCTGTCTCTATGTCTCTCTCTGTCTGTCTGGTGAGCGCACGCGCCCTACAGTGAAAATCTCTCCAAAAAAAAAAAAAGGGACACAAAAGCAAAGAGGTGAGAATACCTGCATAGGCATCCTAATTGCACAGGTCAACAATGGGCTGTTCAGATGGAAAACAATTTGATTTCACTTGTTTTTATTTATTTTTTTAGTCCCCAGCTCCAGTGACCCCCAAAAGCATTCAACGCACACATCGTGAGACATTTTTCAAGACACCTGGAAGCCTTGGGGATCCCGTGCTTAGGAGAAGAGAAAGGAGTCAGTCCCGAAATGCCAGCTCAGCCCAGAGGAGACTAGAAATCCCCAGCAGTGGCCCTGACTAGCCCAGTGCTTCGCCAGGTGGGGGTGGATACAACCCCTGGATTTCCATGTTGCAGGGAATTCATGCGTCCTTCCTGTCTTTCATCCACTGGTCTGTTAACTTCCCACCATCATGACTCATCTGTTTTCCTGAAGTAATTATTAATCGTGCATTTGATACCAGTTAGAGTTGAAACTCTGCATTGTGTCACAGTGAAAGCACCAACTGACTTTTGTGGTTTCGATTGGAGAATCATCTTATTGCTGGAAGTAAATCCAAATGGGCTACCGGAGCCTTGTGGTTTTTTAAAAGGAGGGCTGTCTAGCACTTAACTAGGGTAAGCATTCTTGAAATGTACTTCTACTTGCCCTGAGTAAATCTGTGGTAAGAGAAACTTCCTTTCTGCAGTTTAAAAAAAGCTACTGCTTCCTCAGGCTTCATCAGGAAGCCATCTTCAGTTGTGAATTCTATGGTATTATTTATTTTGTTCCTGAAATGGGATTTAGTGCAAAAAGTTTACAACTACAGCCTAACACATATTTTTCAGGGTATGACGACTTGAATGTTTATACTTTTTTTCTATGATTTACCCTGCACTTATTCTACAATGTAGTAATAATGTGGATAAATGTATACATGACAAATGTCAAGACCAAAATAACTGTGAATGATACACCTTACTATAAAAGAACTGTGCTAACCCTACCTTTGGGCATGAGAACTAAGACTGAGAAGCAGCTCTTAGCTGCTAGAATCTTAACCATGTGAAGGGTGAGGTTTTACTGTCTGTTTAGAAACATCCTACTGTGTTCAGTCTCCTTCACTCCATGCCCTTTGTTTATTTAAATTTAACTGTAGGGTATCAGGTGTGGATGCCTTCTAGCAATTGCTGTTTGTAAAATAAATCAGGGTGGTAGAATGTAATTATATGGAAAATTGGAACCTGGATGACCTTTTGGTTGAATTCTGAATAGTGTAGAAATTGATATAGGGCAATAGGTAATTCTTTCATTTTTTACTACTTCATGTTTGGAAGGAGTAGGAAGGAAAACGGACACATTATGCTCAACATCCAAGGATATTCAAACTATATGTATAAGGTACTTCTGAAAAAGAACAATGAGGGACCAGGTGGTGGCACAGTAGTAATACAACTGAATCCACGTGAGAAAGGTCCTGGGTTTGTGTCCTGGGACCTCCCTGAGCACACCAGGCCAGTTGGGACTGGGGCTAGATCACAGTGAGACGACCTTGTTGGGAGTGCCTGTCTCTCTCTCTCATGGGAGAAATTAACTTTTAAAAGCAATGATAAATAATGAGTGTAGGGGTTTGTTGTTTTAAAGTGAATACAGTTCTAGAAACTTAGGCACTACCCTTTTGTTACACCACATTTTAGGGGTTCATGAAGTAGCCATACCAGTTCTTTGTATTCTTAGATTTATTGCTATTAGTCTCACTCTTGTCTCTTGAATGACGTCTTTTCTTCCTTTCTTCTTTCTCTTTTTTTCAAACTTCTAAGATTTAGAATCTTGTCATAGAGTTTTATTTTTTGGTTTTGGGCCCAATAAAATGTTATATGAAAGAATAAAAATATTAACTAAGAGACTCTGGGAGTCTAAGTAGCTTTATATTGACAAGATAATATTAACCTTATTATCCCCATGAGGTTTTTGAAAACTTTAGGTAGCCAGCTTAAATAAATTTGCTACTTATATAAAATTTTTATGAACACTAAACTTTTAAAGTTTACAAGAGAGTATTTTTTCTCTTCCCTACAATCTTCTCTAGAGTTAGATTAAAAATGTGTTTTTAACCATCACGTGTCTAATTGCTTAGTAATGAATACCCTGAACCAATCTGATGGGTTCCTTATTGAAACAAAGATAGACCTTTTCTCAGGTGGATTGCAGGATACACAGCTTTTCTATCTGTGCAGGGTATGTACACTTTAAATCTGTCACGCTTAAGATTTCCACTGAGAGGTCTGCATGTCAATGGAAACACAACTGGTTTCCCCTCGTTGTTCCTGTATGCTCTCTACTCATTTTAACTTTTTTGCTATCCTATTGTCTTTTTATTATGTCCGTGATAAGACCACATTAACCTCGGGATTCATGGTTCTTGAGGAGAGTTAAGAAGCAGTCCCATAAATGAGAATATGATTTTACCAAGAGAAAACTAAGAACAATTTTTTGAGAGGTTTTTGCTATAGGGCGCATGCGCTTGCCGGAAAGACAGAGAGAGACAGAGAGACAAAAAGTGAGAAATCACCCCCCAGGGGGCATGACCACGCCACAATCCCTTCTCCTCCATTCTCCCCTCGGGATCTTGGGCACGCATGCACACGCACCTAGCGTGAATTTAAGCCACCGGGTCCGGGACTCAAACAGTGGTCGACTACATGAGAGTCCAGTGACATAGCCATTACGCTAACTGCTGATCCCAAGAACAAATTATTTTTGTCTTCAGCCCCCACTAACTGTGGTTTTATGATATGTAAACATAATTAATAATGCAGTGGTTGTTCCTGTCAGGAAAAATGAATCTTTCCTATAGAACTGAAGATAGCGAAGCTGCTGAGCTACACTAGGATACTTTGGATAGTGAAGAAGCAATGGCAGTCTTGAGTATATCATTGTATAATGTAGTAAAGTGAAAAAATAATCGTCGGTGATCCTGCTAGGGAAACACAGCTTTGAGTCAGCACTGAGGGGGTACCCTACCTGTCCAGGGTTTGTGAAACCCTTTCATTCTGGTACAAGAGTTGGGAGTATAACTTTTATACTTGAATCTACCTACCGAGTTTACATTTCTCAATCCCTTTTTGTAAGGTGCTAATTCTGTATTTAAATAACTTTTTTTTTTAATGTAAAGCTGCTTTCTGCTTATCTTATTGCACTGCTAGTTTTATGTAGGTATTAATTTTATTGTGCTTACTGCTTTTGTCTTTATGTCATTTAGCTCTGCTCTTTTCCCTAATGGCTATATTATCTATAGCTATTGTAACTTTACTACATGTAAACTGATCTTTTTTTCTTTTAGAAGGATATAAGCTTTATAAAATAGTAATAAAGTGTAGTTGATAAGAGATTTTGGTTGTATTTCTTGATGAACTTTGCATGTCATTCTCAGTGAAACCATTAACAGTGGACCAGCCAGCCAACCAGCCCTTATAAGCCCAAGTCAGATTTTTTTTTTTCTTCTCAGACCTTCCAATCATCACCAAAGTCCAGAATATCAGTTACTGATACATGGGCGCCTGGGAGGTACTATTGAGCCTCTGAATCACTTCAGGTTTAGAGCCCACAGATGATTCTCATGCTTAACCAGTTACAAGAGTATCCCTTATCCAAAATGCTTGAGAACAGGAGCATTTCAGATTTGGTAATATTTCCATGTACATAATGAGATATATTGGAGATGAGACCCAAGCCTAAACATAAATTGCATTTATTTTTGGTATACATAGCTTGAAGATAGTTTTATACAATATTTTATTTTGCCTGTCACATAGGGCAGATGTGAATTTTCCACTTGTGGTGTCATGTTGGCGCTCAGGAACATTAACAGATTTTTAAAGCATTTTGGATTCCGGATTTTCAGATTAGGGATGTTGAAATAGGGATCACAACCGAACACAGACCACCTCCCCCTCCTTGTGTGTCTCCAATGTCCACCTGTAAGTCAAAGCCAAACACTTGTTAACCCTCACTTTAGGTGAGCCTCCAAGCAGACTTGATCCGATTGCCCCCAGCTCTTTATATTTCCAGAGGGTCTTTTGTCGCACCATTATCAGTCTGCTAAGACTGGCACAAGTGGGACGGGCAAAGTTTGAGTTGATTCACATGGAAGAGTCTTGAGAGGTCTCATCATGAGAACCTTTGCCAGACTTCCTGGGTGGCAGGCAATACATTCTCTTCCCAGCGGCTGCTCTCCCTCAGGCTCTGGTTTTCCTGTAATTCACTCCGTACAGACTCGGAAGGATTCACGAGCCCCAGGCTGACTTTCTCCCATGGGCCCACTTGCAGTGCCCTTTGCCCTGATTCTAGGAGAGAAGACCTGACCACACTCATAGTTGCCTCTCCCTTTTTCCACTGCCAAGCTGCTGGCCCACAGATTTCCCAAGTGAATCTCTTGTCAGAAGAACCTCCCACAACAAAAAAAGGGTGAGGCAAGCAACACCCAAAACACCTCCCTTTTAATGACCCTACAGGGAAGGGGTGAGGAATCAACAACCTTCCAAAGTAATCTTCACTAAATCTGTTGCTATTTCCATTCCCCTCAACCCTTTCGTGGCCCAAGGCCGAGGAGATTCATTAGTTGTGTAACTAGCTTTGCAAGAACCTTTATCAATTTTGCAGAGCCTAATGCCTTTGGAATGCAGAATTTAATGTAACTCACCATTTATATCCTATTACGATACTTAAAAGCTCCCATTGTCCAGGATTTGCATTTTCCTAAATGATTACCGTGACTTAGTATTTCAGGCTTATCAAAGTAATTTTTGATAGCTTAATTTTAGTGTTAGATCATTTTAATTTCATGTGCTTTCTGACCCAAAAATGTTTCTGAAATTAAATTATACCTAAAACTAAAATAGTTTTCTTCTTTAGTCTCTCACATCTAAATCCTTTTTGGTAAATAACCCACTGGTAGGTTTCACTGGCTCTTCTATAGAAGCACCCAGTCTTTCCCCAACTGTGCTCAGAAGAACTCAGTTAATGGATATTAAGAATTGAGTAAAACTGTTCAACATTGGTAAAGCAAACTTAAGCAGTTTTTTTGTTTTCTGTAGGATAAAGACTACCCCACCACAGGAAATTGTCTTGATTATGTGACTGTTTTTGTCATAGCCCATCTTAGCAGACTAGGTCTTAGCAGAAGGTACTTTGAGAAAGAATGAATCCTCCAAACACTCTAGAACTATCATATTCTCATGGAAAAAAATATTAGCTTAAGGGCAGAGATCATGGATGATGTATACCAGCATTCACGGTGTCTGCCACAAAATGTTCATCTGAAGAAACGGGGAACAACAGGATGAATGGGTTACCACAAAGCATTTTCCTTAAAAACCCTTAAGAGTTCTTTCATTGCATGGTTCCAGTTATATGATAGCTATTTAATAAATAATAAATATATAGTTTGGGGTTGTTGGTGATGTATTGTCTGTTTTTAGTTTAGAAGAATGGCTTCTTTGGTATCATAAATGTTCATAAAATGTTTTTTAAAGTTTTTTTTTTTTTTTTTTTTTTGCTATAGGGCACATGTACATGCCAGAGAGACAGAGATAGAAAGTGAGAAATCACCACCCGGGGAGATGGCTACACTGCACTTCTCCATTCTCCTCTCAGGATTTTGGGTGGGTATGTATGCATATGTACCCAGTGTGAGTTTTAAGCTGCCAGGTCCAGGACTTGAACCGCTGTCCATTATGTGGGAGTCCATTACGAGGGAGTCCAGTGATGCCATCTGCTGGTTCCTTATAAAACAAATTTAATCATGGTCGTTTTGCTTTTAAACTTCCGCTGGCATCCTATTCAGCATTTTCCTGTCTCTTCCACATTCCTTTCTAGTCTTTTTCACAGTCTGGTTCCAAGTAGGCAAGATATCATCTGTCAACCCTCATCCTTCATGTTCATGTCCCTTCTGAGTTCTACTTTATCCTGGGGGTTGGAAGCCTAGCAACTACATTTCCCAGATTTCCTTGCTACCAGGTTCTAGATGTGATTCAGTCATTTAGATACACAGGATTTGGTATATAAAAAAGAGGCTGAGGCTGTGCTAGGAGCACCTCAAGCACAGACTGCAACAGACAGTTTTTGCAGCTGCCAAACGTTATTCTGTCTAATCCAGGACTGCACCGGCTGTGATATGGGCAGTGGTTTCCTACTGTGCCCAGACATCAGGAGGAAACAGCATCCCCTCCACCTCTGGTAACAGCAGTGGCGACCTGATCTAAACATGTCACAGCAGCCTGTTGACTAACACTTTCCCTTACTTCCAGCAATTGTGCAACTACCTAATTCCCTGTATGAAAACCTTCCTGCTAGATATACCTAGAGTGTTTTCTAATTTCTGTACAGAAATCAGCAGCCTTATCGCTGATCACTCCTCCCTTCTTTTCCATTCTCTGTCAATCATTCCATTCTCAGTGCCCACATTCTTCATATTCTTTCATGTCCTATACTCTTCACCAGACCTTGCTCTTCCTCAAATGCTCTCTCTACCCCATCTCTCTTTTTCTTTTAAGCTATGTCATACACATCTTCCAAAGTCCAGTTCAAATGTCCCTCCCTCAGGGAGAATTAGTTGTTCTTCCCACCACGTCACGAGGTCCTCCAAGGCAGGAATTAAATTTTTCTCATATAGGGCCTAGCGTCAGTGAGTATAGGAACAAATGATCCACAAAGCTAAAGGATAAGTTATCAGGGTAGCTGTAGTTTACTTAATATGCAATGGCAACATGAAAATACACAATAAACATTTCCCTAGAATCAAAAGTTTCACACAGCACTATCCCACCAATGTCATGTTAATCATTTAATTTACTCAATAAATATTTGCTATTCCTGTGCAAACAGGAGTAGTTTTGGCTTCCCTCTTTTTTTTTTTTAAGATGTTTTTGCCATAAGGCACATATGCTTGACAGAAAGAAAGATAGAGACAGTGAGAGGGAAAGTGATAAATAAGCCCCCAGATGGGATGGCCACACCACAATCCCCTCTCCTCCGTTCTCCTAGAATCCTGGGCATGCATGTATAATCACCAGGGTGATTTTCCAGACATTGGTTCTGGGACTCAAAGTGTAGTCAGTGCTGTGCGAATCTAGCAACGTAACCACTATGCCATCTGCTAGCCACTTTTTCTGTTTTTTGTAATGTTCATAGCAATTTTTTAAATTTATCTTTTGGAGGTTTTTGCTATAGGGTGCATGTGCTCGCCAGAAAGACAGAGAGAGAAAGTAAGAAGTCACCACCCGGGGGGATGACCACGCCGCAATCCCTTCTCCTCAATTCTATTCTTGGGATCTTGGGCATGCATGCACACGCGCCCGGCGTGAGTTTAAGCCACCAGGTCTGGGACTTGAACCGTAGTCGACTACATGGGAGTTCAGCGACATAGCCATTACGTTAACTGCTGGTCCCGTATAACAATCTTATTTCTAATAGTCAAAACTGAAACAACTCAAATGTCATTCAGTGGGTGAGTGAAAAGCCAGTATACTCATACCAAAGACTACTAAGCAACAAA